ATACCACAGGCATTGTTCATCACCACTTCCTCCAGGGCAGTTACGGGGAAGTAATGAATACTGGCCTTGTCAGTAACAACTATATCTAAAGAATGAGTCTTTTAAAAATGACAAAAGGCTTGAGAGTGATAGAGATATTTGAGATGAGTTTGCTGGTTCTGACATCATGACAAATGGTACCTTATGTTCGGCTGCAATAGGACAGCAATATACTGGCACCCAGAGGCAGCATGATCAAGGTGTGCATTAGTTGTCAGTGATACCTAGAATGATGCATATAGCACTTAAATCGCACAAATGGCAAATCAATCCTCCTTAACTGGAGAATACCGGTGAGTAGAATGTTCAGAAGTCTGATTTCAGGTGCTCGACATGGGTGTTTCAAATCATTATGGAAGAATCGTTGCCACGAGGATTGCAGTAGTTCAAGGCAAAGGTACACCATGGCCCATATCCTGTAAACCGATCAATAAAGTGAAGAATGTTTCATTACTCAGGACTATACTCCCTTCGCTTTAATGGGGACAGTTCATTTTCTGGGGAAGAAGTTGTAACTGTTTGTTGGCTTTGAGAAGTATTGATGTTAAATTACAACTTGGACAGAATATGAAATGGTCATGAACTTCAAACAAAAAATTGGTCACAGTGCAATCAAAACTGCCATGGTGTACTAAATTAACTAGCAAATAATAATGTGCTCTGGGTGAGACATTGTAGTTCATGGTGTTGACTACAAGGTAAGGTGGAGATAACAGTAAATTGATTTTTTTTTGTTTTTGAAAAGTGGTTTATCATCTGACACTTGCTGGATTTGGAGAGCGACAGTAAGAATTTTGTTTTGCTGAGTCAGATCTGCTCAGCATACTTAGGTTTGGCTACCGTATGTAAGGTGTTGTGGTTGTAAAGAGGTCAGCCAGATGGATCTCATAGAATATGAGTTTCCTGATTGGGGCTGTTAACCTGGTCCAATCAGGGTGCCCTGGCTGCCAGATATAAACAGGAGGGTCAGAGGTTCTGTTCAGTCTGAGAGCTAGCTCTGACAGAGACATACCAGTGTCAAGAACTTTCTACATGGAAACAAAGAGTGATTTTTGTGAAGTTATTTCACAGGTTTTGTATATCTCTTGCCAGTAGTCATATCCTAGTTAAATAATTCAATGTCACTTGATGTCTCTCTTCAATCAAAGCAAGCCCACCTTTTGTCATGTCACCTATTTGTTATTTGTTTCTGTACAACAAGTAAATCATCAACTACTTTTTTGGCAAGGGAAAGAAGGGACTTTGGTCAAACCTCCTCAAAATAAATTTCCAGAATGCAGGCCTCTCTGGACTTCTCTGCAGGAGTTCCTCACAGTAGTGGCTGACATCTAGCCATCTTCAGCTGCTTCATCAATGACCTCCATTATAAGGTCAGAAGTGGGGATGTTCCCTAATGAATGGACAATGTTCAATATCATTCGCAATTCCGCAGATACTGAAGCAGTCCGTATCCAATGTAGCAAGGTCTGGACAACATCCAGGTTTGTGCTGACAAGTGGCGAGTAACGTTCACTCTACACAATGCCAGACAATGATGACAGGATTCAGCCAACGCCGCCCCCCCCCACCCCTGACATTTCACTGAATCCTCCACTATCGATCTCCTAGAGTTATCATTGACCAGAAACTAAACTAGCCTAACCATTTTTAAAACTGTGGCTTCAAGAACTGGTCAAAGGCTAGAAATTCTGCAGCAAGTAACTCCTGATGCCCCAAAGCCTGTCCACCATCTACAAGGCACAGGTCAGGAGAATAATGGAATAGTCTCCACTTGCCTGGATGAGTACAGCACAAATAACCCTCATGCTTGACCTCATCCAGAAAAGAACAGCCCACTCGATTGATGCCACATGCACAAACATCACTGCGTCCACCTACAACACTCAGAATTAGTGTGTACCATTTACAAGATGCACTACAGAAAAGCAAGGCTCTTTAGACAGCACTTTCCAAACCCCCAACCACTCCAACCTAGAGGGGCAAGGGGCAACAGATACATGGAAATAGCTGCAACTTCCCCCTCTATAACAGTATTGTAGATGTACCTGCAGCAAATGGAATGCAATGGTTCAGGAAGGTAATTCATCACCACCTTCTTAAGGGTAACTCGTGATGTGCAATAAATACTGGCCCAGCCAGCAAACCCACATCCCGTGAATGAAAATCAGAAGCTGCAAACACCACTGTATTAGCAGTTAGTTTAAGCAGAATCATGATTAATAATGAGGATACAAAGCAAGTGCCTTCTATTGTACAAAGAGTGGTGAGTGTCCATGCTAGGAGAAAAAGATTTTTATTCCTGAGCATGCTCAGCTTAAAAGTTAGATCTTTGATTTTTTTTTGAGGTGGATGGCATTTCCCTGCATTTGAGAAAATTCACCACAACTATTCAAAACCAAGTGCAATTTAGTGGGTGATAAAGGCAGGAAAAAGAATTGGGCTCTTGTTCTTATTTTTATCCATTAAATATTCCATTGCCATCACTGGTGGGAAGGTGTCATTACAGTATGGCAAATTTACATAGGTAATTAGCATTGTAAATGCTAATTTAGAAATTTACAATGCCAAACTCTCAGGAATGTGGAAGCATATCTTTTTTAATAGTCAGTAAATATTTCACTGTGCGTCTACTAATTATTGTCAGAGTATATGGCCATTAAGCTGCACAAAGAACTGGAATATTTGTTGGGTAATCTGTTAACAAAGTAATATCCTTACTTCTGAACTTTTAGTCTTTTGCTTTATTACCATAGTTCTTCAATCTAGAACAAAGGTTCGTAATGTTAATAATAAGAACATTCTTTTTTAGAGCTGAAATGCTGCTATACATGCCAATAATCATAAGAAATAGTATATTTGACTAATGTCTTACAGGTATTTTTAAATAAAAAGGTTGTTGATTGTACTCAAGAACATATAATTCAATCTTAATAATAGGTTTTAAAACAACAAGCTATTTAATTGCCATCGAAATGGATTTGATCGCCAATGTTGGGAACTACTTATTAGTCCTTAATGAGCTTCACATAGGTCCAGAGCCATTGGTTGCAAACTCCTGATCCAGAAATCTTTGCAGAATGCTTTGTTTAATGATTATTCTTTAATGAGACAAAGAAGTAATTTGAGTTTTGTGCATTGCAAAAATACAAGTTATCTTTTGTAGAATCTTTTCATCAAGCACTTAATAGGATAATTCTCAAGAATTGAGAGGGATTAAGCGGCGTGCAGTTGGCTGACAAGTCCACTCTGACTGCTAGAAGTATTGCCATACAGAATGCACTAGTTAGTGATGACTGAGAGTTAACCACCAACCTTTGTCTACTTTTTAAAACAATGGGGTTAACACTGGTAAAGGCGCTGCCATGAGAAAGTAACTAAAGAATTACTAGTGCTGTTTTGTTGATTTAAAGTGAGTGAGATGTGTCATCTTCTTCTTTTTATCTGCACAGAACATGGCCCTGTGATTTTATATATGTAGCTTCCATTACACATGAGTGAACCATACTGCAAGCCCAACTGGTTGTTAGGTTTTTGATTTCAAAAGGAAACTCAAATGCAATAGTGCAGTATAAACATAGTTGTAGAGTTCTCTATCAGAAGACAGTTGCATATTTCCCTTGCATCTTTTTTGAGTTAAGCATGAACCAAGACCGTATCAACCCTCTTAGATTGATGTAAAATGTTCCATTGCTTTATTTTGAAGTTTGGTAGGAGAGTTATCCCCAACTTCATTCTCCTCAACCACCAAAAACTGGATTATTTTGACATTATTGTTTACTGTTTGCAGGAACACGTTGTGCATAAATTGAGTGTTTCTTTCCTTCATTGCATCTCAAAAGGCTTTTTAATTGGTTATGAGCAAAGGGCATGACAGGAACTATGTTAATGGAAAATCTTCCTTTATACCAAATCGATTAAGATGGCGGCAGAGTGAGATGCTCCAGCTGGATGTCCTCTGCTTGCCAGTTCCTTTTCCTTTTTCTATTTTTTTTTTTTTTTTTTAACCCTCCTTGCTGCAGTTTTTCTCAACCCCCTCCCACCCCCCTCAATTTTTAACTTCTTAAAGTACTCTACCTGGAGGGAATGGAGAACGGAGTGTGAGACCAACCCAACATGCAGCTCGCAGCTGGAGCCTGGAATGGGAGCAGACCAAGCACAGTCTGACCTTGTGGGGGTGGGGGGGAGTGAGGGGGGGCGAGTCCTGGAAGCAAATCACTGCCACAGCCCGGAGCGAGGAGCAGAGTGAGCATGGGCCGGAGCCCAGAGCAGGCAGCAGAGTGAGCGCAGGCTAGAGCGAGGAGCAGAGTGTGTCGCAGGCCCGGGGCCCGGAGCCCGGAGGCGAGTTCTGGATGGAGACCATCTCATGGAGGCAGCATTGCCTCCTGTTCTGAAACTCAGCAGGTACAGACTCGGTGAAAAAGGACTGTAACTTAAAGATACTTTTTATTCTCATTCTGGACTCTAAACTCTGTATTCCCATGCTAGCTTTTGTTTTTACTATTTTAGTACTGTAACAACACTTAAAGTATCTGTACCCAGGCACTCTGTACCTAAGATGGTGCCAAGAGGTGGCATTACAAACTTTTCACTGCACTCCTTTGAGTGCACTTGACAATAAAGGCTCAGCTATTCTATTCTAAAATCTACCAATTACAGCCTCCAAAGCCAGCCATTTCTATCTTTGGATTTTTATTGAGTGGTCTTCATTCCTGAGCATTAAAAACAGTTGTAATGCTGTTTTTGCCATCCTGTGGTTTTTGGAACAAGGAGTTTGGCTTCTAAGGACAAGATGTTAATGTACTCCACATATCTGTCAATACACACCTGACTCTGTATTCCATAAGATTTGATCACTATGCTTTGATTCTGTGCTGTCTTGAAAAGGTTTAAAATACAACACAAAGTGCTAATTAAGAATATTTCTTGTATAAAATGAACTCACTGGCATGTATCTCTTTCAGGAAGTTCGCAAAGAACGGATTGCACTGGAGTCTCAATTGGAGCAACTTCGACCAGTCTCCCAGACATGACTTCTCCACCTTTCAACAAGCAATGGATAGGAAAGCAGAAGCTCAATTATGAGGACTGTGTGCAGTCTAAAACTTTTGGATAAGAACAGGGCAAACGTAAGCACAATTCACACCACTGTGATCCGATAACTTCTCTTGGTGCCATCAATTTTATAGCAAACTGTTTGAGCATACAAACAGGGAAACCTACCTTGTGCAAACGCTTATATTTGCACGTTCCAATGGTCTTTGAAAATGTACAATTGTTTAAAGCACAATATGTTCTAGCCAACTTGTGTAACAAGTACTAGACCAATTTTTTTTACATGGTTATGAACAGCTTTCATTTGAAAGCACAATCTGTGTTATTAGTGTCCCATACATGCTTGTACAAAGCCATTATAAACCAGAAGGAGCAAAACCAAGCAATCTGAGATTTTGTTAAACTATCTTTTTAACAACTGCAGTATTTTGCCAAACAAAATACTCATTTCAGATCCATAAATGTGTTCAACACCACTTCGACATTACCCCTCCATCCCAGCAAATTTTACACTTCATAAAATGCGTGTACTTATTTTCTCTTTCAATTTTCAATATTCAATAGCTATATTGTGAATTGTGCAAAAAAGTACAGTTTTCTAAGGAAATTTATAATGAAGACAATATTAACATTAAAGTGGGTAACTTTCTCGTCTTGTATACAATATGTTCTATATTACTATGAATTCTAGTTTAATGGTGAAGTACTCGGTGTTTGAGCAGCTATCTGAAGTTATGGGCATCTTGTAGTTGTAATTTAAAGCTCCATGTGACTCAGACTTGTAATTACATAGACAAAATAACAAAAGAATTACATGTCGTAAGAGCGAAACCTTTTCTGGGAATGGCATGCTTGTATTCTGTTCAATTGCCTGATGCATAAACCTGTTAGAGCACAATAGGTAACTGTCACTTTTATATGTTTTTTTTCTCGTATGTCTGCCTTTACTGATGTGCAATATTTTTATTCTGAATTATGCATAATACGGAATAGCTATTTAAATAGAGGTATCAGGGATTGTAGGATTTAAATATTTTCTTCTGAGTAGCAACTTTTGCTCCCCCCTTAAATCATTGCAGAGTTGGTAGTACTCTGTTGAAATAAATTTGGTAATGTTTCTAGAACTGGTGTGTATTTTGTTGTTTGCATTTTGTACATGGCATTTTAAACCAAGCCCTGTGAATAAAGCAGTCTACCCCGTTCTTGAATCATGGATCAATAGAATTTAATCAGAGAATCCCTGCAGTGTGGGATCAGGCCATTCGGCCCATTGAGTCCACACCAACTCTCTGAAGAGCATTCCATCCAGACTTATGCCCCCACCCTATTCCTGTAACCCCGCATTCCCCATAGCTAATACACCTAGCCTGTACATCTTTGGACACTATGGGCAATTTAGCATGACCACTCCACCTAACCTGCACATCTATGGACTGTGGGAGGAAACTGGAGCACCTGGAGGAAATCCACACAGACATAGGGAGAATGTGCAAATTCCACACAGCCAGTTGCCCAAGGCTGGAATCTAACCCGGGTCCCTGGCGCTGTGAGGCAGCCATGCTAAGTACTGAGCCAACGTGCCACCCCTTCCATTATACTCTGAAGACTCTCACTATTCGTTTGGTAGGAGACCACAGTCATGGCTGTATCCCCAGCCAGGCAACTTAGATGCACCTGGTCCTGTACGTTCAGAGATGAGTCTATTCAGACTTTGCAAATATTGACTTTGAGAACATAAACTACAGAATGTGAGCTAAGTTGATGTTCCAGTCGAGTTATATATGTTGTTTAGGGGCAGGGATCAGTGGGACAACTGGGAAATACAAACCTTAGTAACTATAGGTTACTGTAGAGAATTTGCAAATCTGTCTTAATGTAAAGTTCTTCCTCAAACTGCATGCATCAGGTCTCTTTAGATATTATGCTTCTGTTATATGCAATAACAAAGTGTAGCAAAGTACTTAACGACAATGAGACACGTTGAGCTTCAATGCTTTACCTTTGCAATTTCTGATCAGTTTGAAACCATAGTGTGTTGTGGCCTTGAGGCACACACTAAAAACCTAATATATCAGTAAAATATATTCTGCAGTATTATTTCATGATAAGCCAATACTCAGGGGTTGCATCACCATGTTTGGTTGTGATTATAGGGCTTCAGGCTTTGACATTCAGTGGGCAATACAAAGGAGCCCCTAATGGATAGTCTATGACATCATCTGAGCCTTTGTTAAGAGTCTGCTGCTTTGCACTTGCTCCCAGACGCTCATTGTTCTCTGTTTTATTTGAACAGTCGCTCAATCAGCCGTGTAGTTATTATACATCTACTGTTTCATACACCCCTATCTAACAATCTGCATACTTTCCCATAAATGATTGAAGAAGTAGACTGTGTGCTTTGTGCTGCTGTTACATTCTGTTTCATAATAAATCCACTGTAATCGATTGAGAAGCACTTGGTGCATTGCATTTCCAACATGAACTACCCATTTGGTAAATACTCACACACAAAAGCATCGTCCTATAACAGGCCCAGTTTAAAGAAAAGCGATAACAGTCGATCAAATGGCACTTTTGCTTTCCCTTATTCTTTCACCTGTCTGTTTTCAACTTAGTCCTCTTCTCTGAGCAGTGTTTCTATATTACAGTAGGGATCAACCTGATGTGAAACCCTATGATTTCCAAGGTTTACTGCTTTTTAGTTTGGCATTCACTCCAGTAAAAATTAGGACAAAAGGAATTTTAACACCCCCCAACCCTAGCACTTCTCCAGTACCAAGTAATAGGGAAGTGACTGTGAAGAATTACTGATGGCCACAAATATCTCAGTCTAGCCTGTTTATAATAAACATTTCCATTTGAGAAATGAAATATATTACATATTTGGCATTCACTAAGTCTTGCAGGACATGTGTGCCAACACTATTAGCAACTTTAAAACAATTGACAGAATTCTAACCTAACATGGTATGCTGAACTTCTCATAGGCTTGTTGTATTGGCCTGGGTACAAAAGTGTGTATTTATTTGCCCTTCATTACCAGTCACTTCTGGTAGTACTTTAATTGTCATGGTTTTCTGAACTGTGTACAGCTTCCACAGCTAGTGATGTGTTTTCCCAGTAAGTCTGTTGAGGGAGACATTCACTGTTCACTGAATATTTCCTTTTTTGTGTGGTGAACATTTCTGTTTGTTGCAGTTCTGGCCTACTACAAAACTGTCTGCAGTCTGAATAGTGAACTCTAGTAAATGTATTGCATTCCTCATTGCATGTATCTTAACAAAACCAAACCAGGCTATTGCAAATTTCGATCCAACCTGCTGGAATTGATGCTTCACACTAATCTCTTCCCACTCCTCGTCACCTAATCCCATCAGCGCATCCTTCCATGGCTTTCTGTCTCATACATTTGTGTCTTATATGCGTCTGTGCTTTTCACCTCGGATACACTTGGGCAGTGAGTTCCACATTTTAATTTTCCTCCTTTTGTGGCTTTTTGATTTGATTTGATTTATTTATTGTCACATGTATCTTGTTACAAAATGCATTGAAAAGTGCTGTAAAGAGTCACCACTCTGCAGCAGCTTCTTAAAACACAGGAAAAATGAACCAAAACAGAGACTATAAAGGCAGAAAAATGAAGAAATAAAGAAAGTGTCCAACTTTACAGTCCTTCTTGTTAAGTGCTCCGACATGAGCCTTGGGCCTAGCGGCCAGGCATGTGTCCCCTTCGCAGGGCCGCTGAGGCAGGAACAAAACTCCACCGACCTAAGCGGCACCATCTTGGTTACACAAAACGAGAAATTTTTTTTTTTTTTTTAGAAACCAGCAGAAATAAAGGAAACAAAGACAAAAGGAATGAGAAACATGCAGATATTAAAGTCTTATTTAGGCCTTCCCTCCATGCAGGTGCCCAGGCCAAGCCACAGCCTGGATTCTCAGGAGGAGCTGAGTGCTCGGTGTCACTGATGCTACTGCCTCCGATCTCCTCCTCCTGCTGCCAGACCTGCTGAGCTTTTCCAGTAACTTCTGCTTTTGTTCCTGATTTACAGCATCCGCAGTTCTTTTGGTTTTTAGTTTGTGCTGCAACCGAGTCCTGGAACGTGAATGGGCAGGGCTCCCTCGCTGTCTTCAAACCCTGGGTCCCGGAATGTGCTCTGGCGTTTGAGTTTAACAATGACTGTTTTCGAGTTACAGTCTCCAGTTTTGGATCTTCCCCGCAAGTAGGCGCATTTTTTTTTTATGTCTACCTGATCAAAACCTTGAAAATTCGAAAGATCTCTGTTAAAGCAATTAATTGAAACCACTCAAATGAAACTAAAATACTGCAGATGCTGGAAATGGAAAACAAACACAGAAAGCTGGAGAAACTCAGCGGGTCAGGCAGCATCTGTGGAGGGAAAAAGAGCATTAATGCTTTGAATCTAGTATGACTTCTTCAGAACCCTGTTTAAGCATACCAGACCTGCCAAGTTTTTCCATTGTCCTCTGTAATTAAATCCACTCTTTTTTTTTAATGGATTTTATTCCAATTATTTTGTATTGGTTAATTTGCACCCCATTTGCCTCTGGAAACAAGGTATAGTGCAATACAAATAATAAATTGGCACTGTTGTTTGAAAGGACAGTGTACCTTAGCCAGCCTGCGCTATTGCTTAATAGGAATTTATAACACTGAAGAAGCATACGCAATCTGTGCCAACCTTTGCAAGAGTCATTCAAACTAGATCCCATTGTCAGGTTCTCTCGGGTTCCACAATCCTGCATCATCTGTTCCAAATACTTACTCAATTTTCCCTTCAAAGATGCAATGGTCTGTACCTCACTTCCTGTTGTAAAATATGCTGGAATTTGTGCACTCCTGTGTAAACAAATTTATCTCGAACCATTCCTCAGCCTTGAATAGGTGCATTCAGGAGAAAAATTTGCATTGATGTAGGCCTGTACCACACTTCTCAAAACATTCTCAAAGGCTTTACATGCAATGAGCTGCAGTGACTTTTGTAATGCAAGCAAAAGTGCTGCCATGTATGCACAGAAACTTCTCACAAGCAGAAGTTAGATCAGTTGGTTTGTTTTTACTGATGATGACTAAGGAATGTTGGCCAAGAAACCAGGCTTTCCAAGGACAAAGCCAAACGATCTCCAAACAACATCAAGCTGAACTGTTAGGAAAAAAACACTATGCTTTAGTTTAACTTAGCTTTGTTGGGGTAATCCTCCTCAGGGTAACACTCTACGATTAACACTAGATCTATTTTTCACCTGACTGAGAGACAAACTGCTCTTGGTTTTAAAAGGTCAGTTGGTTAAGCTTCAAAAGCCTAAGATGGCTGAATTGTAACTACAAAACTAGAATTGTAGCACAGCACACGTTTCAACCACTAACCAAGAAAGCCGTTGAGTTAATTGCAAATTTTGAAAGGAGGATAAGGTTCCTTGTTTGATTAGAATAGTCAGAATGAACAGCCCGTAATAGTATAGGAGCATTGCTAATTCACACCTTGATGACCAAGCAGAAAATCATTGTAGTACATTCTTTACTGGGTGATAAATTATAGGGCTCATTATTGGACTGAAGACGTCCCTGAGAATGTACATAGTACCACCAAGCAATACGTGGACTTGCAATTGGATGCAATCAATTATCTTGACCCTCAACCCCTAAGTGACTTGGAGCCTTCAGAAGACCCTGTAAGTGTTCATTTTCAGATCATAAATCGGTGGGATCTTATAGGTCTAAGAGTGGTGTACTGGGCAGAATCACTATTACCCATTTTGTGCTAATTCCAGTCTTCTAGCTCATTCTGAAGCTTCAACATAATCCTAAATCTGTAATCGACTGATCTGTTTATGTATTCCAACATTCTATTTGCTTTTTTAAAAATTGTTTTTCTGTCTTGACCATAAAAACACTCTCTCATCAATTTGAAGGGCTCCTGTGCTAATTCATTGTATGAGCAATACTTTTCTTCCTTTGTGATCTTTACATTTGTCAATTTGATATTAATGATCCAAAATTAATTTGCCATTTACCTACCAGTTTTATAAAGATCTACATCATTTTCCAAATGTTAACTAAGTCTTCTGGCTTGACTATTATACCATATTAACTAACCTAGAG